CTGATAACATAAACAGTTGATTAACACATATTATGTATGTTACATGTATTATATACTGTGTTCTGACAATGAAGTAAGCTAGAGAAAAGAAAATGTTATTAAGAAAGTCATAAGGAAGAGAACATACACTTATTGTATTTTTTTGGGGAAAAAAATCTGTGTATAAGTGAACCCTCGCAGTTCAAACCTGTGTTGTTCAAAGGTCAACTACACTTGTCAAAGTGTAGAATCCTATATTGATTGGTCTGTTTCCTTATTTATGGTATCTCTTAGCAGATTATAAACTCCATGAGGGGTGGCATCCTGTGGATTTTTCTCTCCATTGCATCTCTAGTGCCTGTCACAAAATAGGAATTCAATATTGCTTGCTCAATAAAATGAGTGTTATATGAATGTAAAGTGTTATAATTTAATTCTCCCAACATAAATAAAACCATTGGCTTCTTTGTTTATACACCAAAGAATTTGTATAGTTTGGGTCAGTTCGTCCCACTGAGCTTAATCGATTCTGGGTGATTAGATAAAATTAGGTTTGGGCCCTGTAGCAGTGAGGACCAACTCTGTACTATGACCCTGGGAGGTCACAAGCCTCTTCCTTTCACATCTGTGTATTTGAGCATACTGACACCGAGCAGGTGAGCTCTGGACCATTTCGTAAGATGGCTTTCCTTCACGTGTAAAATTGACACAGTGGAGAGGAAAACTTAAATATGGCACAAGTAGTCTAGGTGAATAGTGGACTCCTTGATATTCCTCCTTAGGCCTAACTTCTCAGCAATTCTGTAGGAAGAACTATGGCATGATGTAGCTTGAAGCAAGCCATCTTCTTCCCATTTCTTTCCAACTCTAGGACTATTTTAAATACCACAGGCACTTAATTAAACTAAAAGCCTCTCTTTGGTATCACTCTTCTTTCCTAGTCTCTCCCTCACCAGTCCATGATCCAAACTATTATCAGCATGAATCTTTCTTAAGTTGAGAGAATCATGTCCCTGCTCTGCTCCACATTCTTCTACATGGAGTAGATATGACTTCATAACCTGACCCTTAAACTTTTTTTTTAATACACCTGTTGATTTTATTTTTACAGTATTATTTTGTACTGGTTTCAGGTGTACAGCATAGTGGTTAGACAATCACATACTTTACAAAGTGTTTCACTTGATTGTTCCAACACACATTTGGCGCCATACATATTTATCTTATTATTGACTATATTCCCTATGCTGTTCTTTACACCCCCATGACTATTTTGTAACTACCAATTTGTATCTCTTCATCTCTTCACCTCTTTCACTAGCTCCCCCAACCCTCTCCCCTCTGGCAACCATCAGTCTGTTCACTGTATCTATTAAAAGTCTGTTTCAATTTTGTTTGTTCATTTATCTTGTCCTGACCCTTAAACTTTCTCATTTCATCTCCCTTCACGTTTCCTCTCACACCTTCATTCCCAGCCTCTACAAGCAGCTTCCAAGTCCCTAAATACATCATGTTTTCTAATGCCCCTGTGCCTTTGCACACAAGTTCCTCCTCCCAACTCTTCTGCCTGATGAGTCTCACAAAGTCTTTCCTGCAAATGCCCCCCCACCCCCACTGGCACTTCTTTCTGTTTTATCTGCACACTCCTCCCCACCAGACTATGAGTTCCTTGAGCATAGGAATTGTGTCTTTCTCATCATTGAATCCCCACAGGGAAATGCCCTTCTTTGGGATGTCAAAGTCCAACCAAACAACTGGGGCCAGATTCCAGAGTTAGCAAGGGATAGTTTTACTTTCTGGGGTCATCTCAACTTCTAACCCTCTTCCCCTCTTCCATGACATTTAACTTGACCAATGTAGAGATGGGGAGTAGGGGCAAGGGTCAGGCAAAGTAAAAGGCTTTGTCTTTTTCCTTGGTTCAACCTATGCACACCTACTCTAACAATAAAGGAACATGAGAAACAGATACATTATTATGATCATTATCTCTCTCAAGAAAATACTGGGTACTGACTTCTGGACCCCTGAAATGCATTAACTTTACAAACAGAAAGTCCTCTCTGCCAATGCCAATGAAGTGGTGGTTGCTTTTAATAAAGCCACATCTGGAACTATTTTTTGTGCCTGCCTAATGATCACATATTATTCTTTCCCATCTCCACCTCCAAGCCTAATGTTTCAGGCAGAGACCCATTTTATATAAGAAGATGCCCACTTGCATTAGTGGGGAGTGAAGGGACACTCTGTGTGACTGGAAGGATGAATGTGCTAACAGCTTAATTCTTTTAAGAGCACTTTTTGAAAATTAGGCTTTAGAACTTGCTGATTGCCTAGATTTGGCTTTTTTTTGGGGGGGGGGCGCAGAGTGTCTTCAACTCATCTGGAGTTGTCTACCTGGAAATAAATGAGGTATATTTCACTAGAATGAATTATTCTGCAGGAGGGTTTAAGTCCCATTGTTTATTCAGTCATCTTACATTTATTTTATGAACATCCTGTGCGCCAGGCGCTATATTTGGAGTCTGGGATCCACAGATGAATAGGATAGGTTTCTGGCCAGGAGACACAGAGGTTCACAATGTGCTAATACAGAAGTTTTGATAAAGTGTTATGGGTGTTCTATGGGGAATATTCGTTTCAATTGAAGATGGAGTTAGCAAAAAAAGGCTTCCCAGAGAAGGTGCCACTTCTGCCAATTCTTGAAGAATGGGTAGGATTCATCAGCTGAACCAGAAGGAAAGGTATATCAGGCAGAGGAATGAGCAGAAGCAGAAGCATGGAGGGGGAAAAGGCATGGGATTTAGATTCATGCAGATATGTTTCTCAAAGTAACTGTGTAGCTTAGGAATTATTAACCTGAGTCATGGAACTCTATGAGAACCAAATAATCATTAGCTAACGATCTTCTCCCCGGAAGAGACAGAGAGTGTGTATATAAGCATGTGTGCACATACAAGTATACACACAGACACACACATATGAGTTTATAGGCATTTTCATTGAGTTCATGAACCCCCTGATCCAATGGACACAAGGGGTTAAAAATTTCAAATAGAAATATTCATATATTCACATATAAAACAAATTAAGAGAGGATTAATGGCTTTATGTGCTACTATACTAACTTTATTTTCTCCAGCTATTAATGTTACCTAAACAATAATTCATTGAATGCCAAAATAAAATTAACTTTTAGTGTCTACAAGTAATTAGCTGATTTTCTGTCTCCAAAGTTTTATAAATCACTGTTTATTCTCTTCTACCATAATTATTATTATTTTTTCTAACCCTTTTGTTAGAATGGTTACAATTTCAGGAATATACATTTGAAATGTTATTTGAAACAAACAAGTGTAGAGATAAGCCTGAGTTTGAGTTTCAGGCTTTTTTTTTTTTTTTCTTTAACACTGGAGTCTAAAGCAAAGGGGGGAGTGGTGTGGCTTTTCTGTACTGCACTGTTGTCTGGGCTTAGTCTACCTTTGCAGGTAATTAATTCTCCAGCCTGCTTATTTTTTCTAGTTGGCTCTTGTTTAGCTTCCACAGAGCCCCACCCCAAAGTGCTTTATTGTCCCTCTGCTATTTCTACATATGGTCAAAATCAACTCACCTTCCGGGTTGCTGACATCGGCAAATTCACTGTTGGCAAACTCGGCTCTACTCCCAGTAACCCTTTGTTAAAAAAGTGTTATTAACAATGAAGTGGATCTGATAGCTAACAAGCCTGTCCAATCTCTTCCACTTCTAGGTTTACTAAGGAGAAACTCTTTGTGTCTGTGGATTTACAGCCACAGGCAGGATATTAGCACTCCCAGACCAGTTGGGTACTAGAGCACTGCTAATGAGCAAATAGCCCTGCTTCAATTAGTGGTTTGTGAAATAAATATTCCTGGATATCAAATTGCTTTTGCTGCTTGATAATCACACTGGCTCTTGGGATGAAAAGCAACTAAGCAAAAATTGTTCCCTTGTTGAGTACTGCCTTGTTGATCTAAGTTACTTCTGTAGACAGAATTTAAGTTTGCCATTCCCCCAGAGTTGAGGTTTGATTTACACATGTAATCACGGTGTTGGTGTTCATGTTTTCTCTTGCAAATGTTTTCCATAGTATCTAGATTACCATCTTTTGAGACTGGCTCTAAAATAATTACTTAAACAGGTTATTTTAGAAATAGACTAAGAACTATAGAAGAATCCAAAATGGTAAACTGCTACACTGATAATTTGTCTAGGCATAGGTGTTATTTCAGAGAGGGAGGGAGGGAAGAGGGAAGAGGAGAGACAGAGAGAGAGAGAGAGAGAGAGAGAAAGAGAGAGAGAGAGAGAGAGAGAGAGAAATAAGATTTAATGTAACTGTTTCATCCAGATTGCAACTTCTGTGTTGATACCTGGAACTGAAAAGAAAAGCTTCAATATAGGGCATGGGAAGGAAAGAAAGTAGTAAAGGGAAAGCAATTCAAGATCTGTTACTGGTATTTGAATACATTTATTGTGACAAGAATGCTGTTATAAATATTTATAAGCAAAGACCATCTTTTTAATCTGGTAATTGTTAAAGTGAAGATTCCAAATTGGAAGGATACATCTTTTGTAATCATCTGCCACCGTTCCTGCTTTAAGAATAAGCATCTATTGTTAAATTTCTACTGACATTATAAATGGTCACAGCACATGTCACTTGAGAATCCAAACTTTAAAGTGTTTGACTTCCCAATGGGCTCTCCCTCTTCACAACCTCCCTTCCCTCAGCCTCCTGAAAGGCCACTATCCTTAGAGCCACTCCACATTGACAGTGGGGGATGGAGTATATCTTGATGAGAGCATCAACTACAATTGTTTTTCAAGTCCAGTAGAAAGTAGTTTTTACTGCTTGATAGAAGCACTGAGAGGGATTGTAACTGACACTCTTAACTCCACCTAGAGAGGTAATCTATAGATAATTCAGAAAAGAGGTTGGGGGAGGGGTGCTTTTTCAATATTTTATTTTCTTAAATATCCTTTCTGGAATTTTCAGAAACAAAACATAAAAAAATTATATACTTTATTACAAATGGTAAACTCAGAGTGCTCCAAATCTCTTATTTACAAACAACACCGGGCAGGACGCCCAAACAAACAAACATGAAATAACTTACAAAGACATGAAGCTGTTTATTGACAGTAATCAGCTTTCATCAAATTAAAAAATATATATATGTACATACAGTTAAGGAAGGCAGGCCAGAAAGAGTTCATCTGTAGGCTCAGCCTCACTCTCACAAACCTCCCTCCCGCCTCCCCTCCCTCCCCCCTCCCCCCCTTTGTATTCTTAAGGAGTACTACAGAAGCAATCTACAGTCTCTATTGCAGTTTGTAACCCCTCCCCCTCCCCCCTTTTAATACTGAATGAGATCGAATGTTAGGTCCATGCAGTTCTTGGTCAATGTTAAAGAAAAGTCTAACGTTAAGTTTGCGCTGGGACAGCCAGTCCGCAAAGCGGGGCAGCCCGCAGGCGGCAGCTCCCTGGCTCCACGCCAAGGGAGGGCGCGCCAAGTCCTTCCCACTCGTGCACACTGGGGGCGCCGTCAGGACGCAACCCAGTCTAACTTGGATACCCTTGGCTTTAGTCCTCGGACACTTCTTTTCTCTCTCTCTCGCAACTTGTCAAGTTCTCAAGTCAGTCTCTGTAATTTTTTTTCTCCGTTGCCCCTCAGCCCCCTACAGTCTCTCCTCAAAATGTTTGCAACTGCTGCGTTAGCATGAGTTGGCACCCACTATTAACGTGGTTCATGACTTTCTGTTTAAGCTGTGCCACCTGTTCCCTGAGCATGTTGGCTGTAGACGCCAGCTCTGAGTTCTGAGCTTTCAAGGTTTTCACTTTTTCCTCCAGCCGGGCGATTCTCTCCAGCTTCCTTTTCCGGCACTTGGAGGCAGCGATGCGGTTCCTCATGCGCTTCCTCTCCGCCTTGATCCGCTCCTGGGACTCCATGTCGATGGGGGACAGGGGCGGTGTTTCCCCGGGCATTTCGGGCACCGTCTGCGGCTCCTCCTTCAGGGCCTGCAGCCGCGGGTGCTGCACCGGGATCTGCTGGGGCAGGTGGTGCGGCGGCTGCGGTGGCTGCTGCTGCTGGGGCTGCGCGGGAAACGCCAGGCCGGCCGCGCCGTAGGAGGGCGCCCCGCCGCCGCTGCTCAGCGCACCCGGGTTGAAGTTGCTGAGGTTGGCATAGACCGGCGGCTCGCTGTGCAGGCTGGCGCTGAAGCCGCCGCTGCCGCTGCCGCCCGCCACCGAAGCCACCGCCGGAGCCACCATGCCTGCACCGCTGACCGGCTGCGCCGCGGACGTGACACTGGGCAGCGTGTTTTGGCTGTGCAGTTCGGCCAGGGCGCGCACGAAGCCCTCGGCAAAGCCCTCCTGCTCGTCCGTCACGTTCTTGGGGCACAGGAACTGGGTGGGGGTCGGCGTGGTGGTGATGTGCCCGTTGCTGGACTGGATTATCAGGCGCTCCAGCTCGGGAGACGCCAGTTTGAGCAGCCCCACGTCGGGCGAGGTGAGGAGGTCCGAGTTCTTGGCCCGGAGGTGCGGCTTCAGGCTGCCCACCGGATCAGCCAGGTTCAGAGTCATGCTCTGTTTCAGGATCTTGGGGTTACTGTAGCCATAGGCGCCGCTCTCGGACTGGAGGAACGAGGCGTTGAGGGCATCGTCGTAGAAGGTCGTTTCCATCTTTGCAGTCATAGAACAGTCCGTCACTTCACGTGGGGTTAGTTTGGGCTGCGCGCAGAAGTTTCTGGGCCGCAACAGCGCGCTAGCAAGCGGGGGACACCCGTGCCCCCCGGGGCCTTTGGCAAGGAAAGTTTCTCTAAGAGCGCGCGCACCCGCTGGCTGTCCTCCCCTCTGCGCCCTCCTCGCCAGTTGGCTCCAGGGAACTCAGGGTTAAGACGCCGCCTGCACTCTTACTAGTCCGCTCGCGCGCGCTGCCGGCTTTGAAAAGTCGCGGTCACTCACTGAGCGCTCCTCCGCGCAGTGGCTTCTCGGAGCCCAGGAACGAACTCACTTCCCGGCGACAGTGCGTGTCCCGGAGGAGGCGCTCAGCGCGGACCCCGCAGTGAGCCGGCCGGCGGCGACTCTCCGCCGCCCGGACTCCGACGACTGTCCCCTCCTCCGCTGCGAGAGGGAGGGAGCGCCCGGCGGCCGTGGCTCGCGCTCCCCCAAGTTCAGCAACCCGTGCGAAAGGAGCTGAGCGTTCGTCCCTCCTCGTTTTCTTCTCTTCGCCGTCTGCTTTTCTTTATCGCCGCCGCGGCAGCTTCGGGCGGAGAAAAGCTTTGCAAAAGTTCGCTCCGGGACCCAGGGGCCACTTGTCCCCTGTCCTCCGCGCCAGGAAAGTTCTTTGCCGTTGCAGCGGCTCGCCGGACTTACCCGGGCGACAGTCGCCGATCTCCGCGCTGTCAGCAGTGCCCGGGCAGCGGCGCGCTCCTCCTGGGGGCGGCTGGAGAAGGGGCTCTTCGGACGCTCCCCAAAACACCAGCCCAGGAGCCACAGGCACCAGCTCTGGGCAGTCGGTGAGAAAATAGAAAAGAAAATGAGATCTGCAGTTCGGACTCTACTGTCGTCCTGACCGTGTCTGTCTGTCTCCCTGAGTCCGCGCACCTCCACTCGCGCCTCGCTGCTTCAGCCACACTCAGTGCAACTCTGAGCCCTTATCCAGCCCGAGCTCAACACTTATCTGCTACCAGTCAACCCCTAAAAATAGCCCATGATGTCACCCCAAGGCCTTCGCATTGGCTCGCGTCGTTCTCAAGGGGGCGGGCCCGCCCGTCGCCATGGAGACCCCACCCTAGAAGATTCTTCTCCGGACCCGCGGAGGCTCACGGGATGAGGTAATGCTCTGTTGCCCTCCTACAGTTGGGCCCTTCTTTCTCCACCTCCCCTTACCCCTCCCGCGCGACTCGCGCCCCACTCTTCGCCTTCCCCTCCCCAGCGCGTCTTTCCCGACCCGCCCGGTGCATTGTGGGCTGACGTCTTGGGGTTAGACTGTCTAGTGACGGTGGCTACTGAAAGCGGGTGGACGCGGGCGCTCGCAGCCTCTGGCAGAGGCAACCTCAAGTTCGGGGCTCGGGCGGGAATGCAGAGGCTGCCGGGGCCCGGAAGGCTGGGGAACCGGCCAGGTGTCTGGGACCCCGGGTGCGGGGCGGGTGGTATCTCCCCACTTTGTGGGGTCTCGATGTCATCTTTGGGCACTTCGCCGCCGCGCGGGGCGGGGAGGTCGAACGCCCGGGCCCTCCCCCCCACTTCCGGGGGGCGGGACTCCGCCCTTAAGGTGGCTCTGTTAAGTCCCCCGTGGGGGTGAGTGAAAGTGGGTTTAAGTTTAGGGGCGGTCTCGCGAGAGTCAGCCCCCCACATTGAGGACGCTAGAAGTTTGTCTGCTGGTCAAGTTCACTAGCGACCGTCCGTCCTGCTGGCTGGCCGCCTGGACGCCCGGTGGTTTGCCTTGCTCGAAACTGGGTGCTCAGCTAAGTCCCTGCCGCACCCCCTCTTCACCCTCCGGACGACGGGAAAAAGGGAGAAGGGTTGTGGGGTCACAGCTTGGTCTCGGGTTTTTTTTTTTCCTTTGTTTTTTAGGGAGTGGAATTAGGGGGCAACTCAGCGTCCATTTGAGAACCAGCGTTTAGGGATCCGAAATTTGGGGAACCCGGGTGATTGTCCACTCCCTGCTCTCATAACAACAAGCACACCGCACATCAGGCGAACGAGAACACACACACACACACACTCACACACACTCACACTCCCCCCCACTCCCTCACCCCTCCCGCCGTGATTTGCTTCCGGGAAAACTCTCCGAGAGCGGCAGACACTCGCCCAAAGTCACTCATCGAGGAGTCCGGGAGAAGCAGAATTTAAGATCTCTTAGCTGCTGCCCGGCTGCTGCCCATATCCTGTGTAGCCTGTAGGAAGCGCTAGACACATATAAGTGGTTCCTTTAATGTGGTGATTATTTTATCCTCCCCCATCCCGCACCCCTGGGGGACAAAAGTATGGTGGGAAGAATACTGAAGTCGGGAATCATGAGTTCTATGGTGGCCAACCCTGCCACAGTGGGAAATGAGCAAATCACCTGGTTTCTCTGAGCTTCAATTCTTTTATCGGCAAGAGGGACTGGGAGAACCACCTCATCGCCAGGCCGAGTTAGTGTAGCATCATCGCCTTCAGGGATAGGAGGTAGTCGCCAAACAGCCCCCTTCCCTGAGTTTCCCGGAACCTCAATGGAATATTAGGATGTGAGTGAGACTTGGCAGGAACAGGTGTACAAATGCCTGTGAGGAGCAGTGAGGGGAGGAGGGTGAGGGAGGAAAGAAAGGGTCCGCAGTCAGCCCCCGCCCCCGCAGAAGGCCTAAGACTGGGGCTTGTAGTTGGACCTGCAGCAGTTTTCCTGGGTTCTATTTCTGGCTTTTCAGCTTCAGAACTTGTGGGAATTCGGCCTTGGATTCAGATTCAGAACCCAGAGCTTTAAGGTCCTTGTGGCTTTGAGAGTTCACACTCAACGGCAGCTGGGGGCAGGGAGATCTTGACAACTTTTCTTCACTCCAGGCACTCACTTCTCATTCTCTCAAGCAGTAGAGGAAAACTGAATGGCTACTGTGAGCCAGGTACTCTGCAGGGGTGGGGAGTAGGGGTGCAGTAGGGATACAGAGATGACAAGTTCCAGTTACTTTCCTCAAGAAGGGAACATTCTCCTCTATGTTGTTTCCCTGAATCATTTTCTTTTGTAATCAGGGAGCTGGTGTTCTCAATAATGTTTTATGATGAGTAATAAAAATAAATTTCACATATTAAACATCTACTATCAGCTAGGCATTTGCCTGAGCATTTAAATATGCGGTTTCTCCCACAATCGTCTAGAGCTATGTATATTATTAGGTGGATTTAACATATGAGGAACTAGGTCCAGAGAGATTAAATATCTTGCTCAGGCCACACAGGAAGCTGGAAATTGATCTCAGGTCTGTGTTACATTCCCTTGTCTCTTCTCTGCTCTGGGAGGCTTTCTTGTAACTATTGTCTACAGAAGAAATAGAGCTCAGATGGTGGTACAGAAGACATTTGCTTTGCCTGATCCTCTCTCTGTAACTCCTTTCAGAGCTCCTCTGTTTAGAAAATTCAAGATTTAGGACTTTGCATTAACATGTATCTTTTGCCTAAGGGTTCTGTATGTACCTCTTTGCCTTACTTGGTTTTAGTAGGCTGATTTTCTCCTTATATTGAGAAATAGCATATTTCATCCAAAAAATAACAGATCTGTTTATGTTGATGCCCCTGCTTGGAAGCCTTCATTGGATTCCCCTACCACCAGGAGAGAGTTCAGACACCTTTGCTTAGGAGAGGAGGCCTTTCACAGTCTAGCTCCTGCTCTCAGGCCTCATCTCTCACTCCCAGTATCAGTCAGGTAAGACTAATAACCCCAACATCTCAGTGGCTTACCCCAGGGAAGTTTATTTCTTACTGAGGCTGTGTGCCCACTGTGGGCCTGGGGCAGGGAAGCTCTGTTCACTGTGGTCACTTGAGGATTCCAGTCGAAGAAGGTTTCATCTTAAAGCATGCTTCTTATTACTGTCTTGGCTGGGGGCGGGTGGAGAGAAGGCGAGAAATTATTCACTGGCTCTCAAGAGCATCCACCTGGAAGTGACACACTGCACTCTGCTTGTGTATCATTGGCCACAGCAAGTCACGTGGCTATGCCTATCTTTGAATCTCTGTAACCCTGCCAAGTGTCTTGAAAGGAGAGAGCCAGGAAGATTTGTGGAACAATACTAATGATTCTAACAGTGTCCCTTTCTGTTCACCAAATGTTTGGCTTACTGTTCTCCCACAGGCAGAATTTCCTCATTCTTTCCTCAAGGGGGACAACTCTAAAGACTCATCTAGTCACAGTATGTCAAGCTCACGTTCCAGGTACTGGGTGATGCATAGTAGACTCTATATCAGCTCCAAATATGACTCTTCATCTAAAGGTAAAATGTCTACCCTGCCCACCAATGTATCATGGTGTGATGGAGACAGGATAACTGTAGTGGACACACCATTTGGAAAGTAAAGGAATGGGAGACCACAGTAGACATTAGTCCACTGAGCAGACATGTTGAGGACCCCTTATCCAACACCCCAATTAGACCCTGATTCTGCTCCTGAGTGGAGCTGCCTCATCCATTGTTTTCCATGACCCCTGGCTTTGCCTATAAGAAAAGCTTCTTCTTCTATATCTAAAGCAGGCATAAGGAAATATGTTTTTAAATAAGCTTTTAAAAATGGGGGAAGGGGTTTACAGAGTGACAGTAAGTCTTCAGTACAGTGTCCTTTAATCCAAGCTGATGTTCTTTTGGCTGTAGAACTCTCACATAAATGTAGGCCTCTTATCAATTTGATTCTAGCCATTCCATGTCCTAGTAGCCACAGCCAACTCTTTTCTAGACAAAGTTCTATGGTCTACCATATATATATATATTTTTAAAATATATTTTCATTGATTTTTTTTTAGAGAGAAAGGAAGGGAGAGAGATAGAAACATCAATGTGGAGAGAAACATCGATTGGCTGCCTTCTGCACACCCCCTACTGGGTATCAAGCTTGAAACCCAGGCATGTGCCCTGACTGAGAATTGAACCAGGACCTCTCAGTCCATGGGATGACGCTCAGTCCAATGGGCCACACCAACCCGGCAGGTGTGCCTTATTTCTTTGCTTTCTCGCTCTCATGCCTGCTGTTCTCTCTGTCTCTAACTCGTTCTCCTGCCCCACCCCCTACTTGGTTTTGAGTGCTTTGTACTTATTGGGCTGTGGTGTGAGAGTCACACTTTTCCTCCCTTTTCCAGAGCCGTTTGTCCAATTGAAAGCATATGCTGCTCTGGCTGGTGTGGCTCGGTTGGAGCATCGCCTGTACACCTAAACATTGCAGGTTTGATTCCCGGTTTTAGAGCTTGCTTGCTGCCATGTAAAATACTTATTTTTAGCACTCTACCTAATAAATACAGTTAGAAAAAAGAAAAAGAAAGAAAGCATATACTGGGTAACACCTTAATTTATCCAGAGGTTTTAGCAAAAGGTTTAAGGCCATACCGTTGACTTGATCCGTACTTCAAGGCTGATTTTACCTGGCCTTTTCTTGCTGAACACATTTCTTAATTGTATATTTTACTAGTTGAGATTGAGAAATAATAGCCTCTTCTAACCCTACATAATCTCTGAATTTCTAGATTGTTCCTACTCTCTTTCATTCCTGCTTGCAAACTGGCCCAGTCTTCTCTGAGCTAATTTCTTTCTTTTTTTTTTTGGTAATAAGTTTCCAAATGCATCCAACAGCCACCGACACTTGCTACTAACATTTTGTTTTACAGCTTCTTATTCTAAGTTCATTAGGTTAATATATGCCTTCTAGATTATCACAGGTGCTGTAGTCACCAAGTAGATTGATATCCTTTTAGCTTCTCATAACAGTGTTCTTAGTTACTGTCTTCTAAACAAATGTTTAATTTCATTGTTCTCACATTACCCAATGTCTAGGTGCTAGTTTATATCAGTCAGGATAGGCTAGGTTTGCTACCATAACAAACAATCCTAAAATCTTAGTGGCTTAACAAAGAAAACCTTTATTTCCTGCTCATACTACATGTTGAAAGTCAAAGGGGCTCTTCCCAATGTATTTGCTCAGAAACCAAGTCTGAAGAAGGTTTCACCTTAATATATGCCTCCTTAATCATCCCAGTCATTTCAATGGGAGAAAGAAAGCTTGGTGAATTCACATGGACTTTAAAAGCTTCCTCCCCAAACAAGACAAATTATGTTTTTATGTTATTGGTCAAAAACTAGTCACATGACCATGTCTTACAGGGTTCAGGAAAGTGGCTGGAAGTCAAGAGCTGGAAACTCTTGCCT